GAACCCAGAAGCCCTACATAAGGGCTCATAAGGGGCTAGCTCATAAGGGGCTAGCAGGCCTGCAGCTTTCAGCCTGCTGCGCCTTAACACACACAGTGTCGTCACCCATGTCATAAGTTTTACTTGTCCGGAACTTGAGGTGTAGTTTCCCCCAAACCCCTGCACCTATCACCTTGAAACTTGGCAAGCTTTGTGGCCTCACCAGGGCCCACCATCCCTGCTGTTTTGATTCCACTGTGGCGTAACACATACATGTGACATGAGTTTTGCTTTCAAGATTTTGGAGTGCATTTTTCCCCACACCCCTGCACCTATATCCTTGAAACTTGGCAAGCTTTGTGGCCTCACCAGGGCCCACCATCCCTGCTGTTTTGATTCCACTGTGGCGTAACACATACATGTGACATGAGTTTTGCTTTCAGAATTTTGGGGTGCAGTTTCCTATAAACCCCTAAACTTATTAACTTGAAGTGTGGCACACATCATGCTCTCAGCAGAGAATACCATTCCTGCAAGTTTCACCTGAATCAGCCAAAAGACAGCAAATTTAGAGATATTTCATTGATTCCATGGTCAGACCCAGAGGGTAGTAATCGATGGAAGTCAATCATCATGGTGCCCTGTGACCAGTGGGGTCCCCCAAGGCTCTGTCCTTGGACCCATACTGTTCAACATCTTCATTAATGATGTGGACATTGGAGTCAGAAGCAGACTGGCCAAGTTTGCCGATGACACCAAACTTCGGGGCAAAGCATCCACACAAGAAGACAGGAGGGTGATCCAGGCTGACCTGGACGGGCTCAGCAAGTGGGCAGATGAGAGCCTGATGGTGTTTAACACTGAAAAATGCAAGGTTCTCCACCTTGGGAAGAAAAACCTGCAGCATCCTTATAGGCTCGGCAGTACTACACTGGCTAGCACTATGGAAGAAAGAGACTTGGGGGTCATCACTGACCACAAGATGAACATGAGCCTGCAGTGCGATGCTGCGGCTAGTAAAGTG